CCTGGTTGATCCAACCTAGAAACACAACCCACTACTCAAAATAAACAAAAACAGATCAAACAAAAAAAAAAATGAAACTTGCAATTAGGGTTCATCAATTTCAAAAGAAAGAACACGTTCATCATAAAAAATCACATTCACCAACAGAAAAAAAAGGCATATTCATCAGGCAAAATGAACTGGACAATTTTTTTGATTTTTCATTCACAATATTACTCTAAATACACTTATAGCACGTCAAGAAAACCCAAAAAATAAAAAAATGCATGGCGAAGGCTTTTGAAGAAGACAGATCAGAATCGGGGGGAGGGATCCCACCCACGAGATCAAGCTCCAACCCTCTCCCTCACCACCATTCTCAAGAACCTCCTCTGAAGAGAAAATTACCTATAGAAACAAATCCAGAAAAGGGCACACTTCTTGAAACTCAACAATGTCTCCTCCTCCAGCCGTTGTCACCTAGCAGAAAATGCCTCTTTCTGAAAACTCCCCCCTTTTTCACCAGCCTTTGAACCCTTATTTATACCAAAAGTAAAAAGCAAAGGAAAAAAATAAAAGAACCTAGATCTATCCCTAGCCTTCTGATCTAGCCCTTTTCTTATCCACCCTTGATCCTTAAAACGCCAAAATTGAACCCCTTTAGCCTCTGGACAGCTGTTGATTTCTCCAGGCTAGAAAGCAAAGGACAGAAAGCTTTTTTTTTTTTTTTTTTTTTTTTTTTCTTTGTCTTTTGTACAGGTCTCCTAAAGTGACAGAGCAAGTGCAGAATGGGCTGTAGGGGCAGGGGCGTAGCAGTGCAGAAGCAGGACCACAGCAGTAAAGTACAGCAAGCAGGAGGCGCGGCAACAAGGTGTAGGGGTGCAGGCGTGCAGCCTCAATGCAGCAAGCAAGGGTGCAGGCAGCAAGTTTAGGGAGCAAGTTGGTTCAGGAAAAGAAGATTCTGGAGAGCAAAAGGATTTTAACTTTTTTTTTTTTTTTTTTGGGTTTTTGGGTTTTTGTCATTTTTTTTGGGTTTGGGTCTTGGTTTTTTTGTTTTTGTGATTTTTGGGTAATGGTGGGCTTGGGTTTTTGGGTTTTTAGTTTTGGGTTTGGATAATTCAGTGGGCTTAATTGAAATGGGTTGGTGTTGGGTTTGCAAATTTGATGAATTTCACCCTCAAACTTTTGATTCCTTCAAATGAGTCCTTTCTCGATTTTCTTTTCTTCATTTTCTTCTTGAGTTTCT